GAGAGTTCCCATAATTTCAGTTTGGGTCTTACTAGTCCTATTGAGAATCAGGTTGCTCGGGATTTTCTGAATATTTTCTCTCGGGAAAATATTTTTGATGATTCCTGGGGGACTGATTTGGACGAAGTAAGGTCTATAACTAAAAAGTTTCAAAATATGAAAGCTCCAGGTGATGATGGAATTTTCTATATCCTCATCAAAAAACTCCCAGAGAGTACCTTGTCTTTCTTGGTAAAATTATTTAACAGATGTTTCCATTTGGCATACTTTCCTGATAAATGGAAAAATGCAAAAGTTGTTCCAATTTTGAAGCCGGATAAAAATCCAGCTGAAGCTTCTAGCTACCGCCCAATAAGTTTGCTTTCTTCAATACGAACTCAATTTTTGCAGATGAGCAGTTTGGATTTCGCCATGGGCATTCAACTACTCATCAACTCTTGAGAGTTACCAATTTAATTCGTTCAAACAAATCTGAAGGCCACTCAACTGGAGTTGCTCTTCTAGACATAGAAAAAGCATTCGACAGTGTTTGGCATGAAGGTTTGATTGCTAAATTGAAAAAGTTTAATTTTCCCCTTTATATTATGAAATTAGTTCAAAATTATTTAACTGACAGAACTCTGCAGGTAAATTACCAAAATTCCAAATCTAATCGACTACCTTTTATAGCAGGAGTTCCTCAGGGTAGCATTCTTGGGCCTATATTGTATGACATTTTCACTTCTGGCAACCCTGATTTGCCTCAGGGTTGCCACAAATCTTTGTTCGCTGATGACACAGGCATTTCCGCTTAAGGAAGAAGTATGTTAAAGGGTGATACGGTCAAAATTTGGTCAAGGGAAAACGCGTGTAAATCGGTGAAATCGTTTATTTAAAAAATCAAATTAAATTTCTTTTTCAAGTTCAATTAGTATAAAATTCAGGAAAAATATTCAGTTAGGCTTCCGCTTTTCCAAATCCGAATTGCCGGGCCTTACGCTTGACCCCTGCCATCAGATTTTGTACAGCCACCTTGTCCACCTTCTTCGCCGCAGAAAGCCAGTTTGCCTTGAACTGCTGCTCGCCCTTAGCAGTTTTTTGGTCTTCTTTAGGTTCCGCTTGACAATAGGCCAGTATTTCTCAATTGGGCGGAGCTCTGGCGTGTTGGGAGGGTTCTTGTCCTTGGGAACCACCTGCACGTTGTTGGCGGCGTACCACTCCATGGCCTTTTTACCGTAATGGCAAGATGCCAAATCCGGCCAAAACAGTACGGAACAACCGTGTTTCTTCAGGAAAGGCAGCAGACGTTTATTCAAACACTCTTTCACGTAAATTTCTTGGTTGACAGTCCCGGAAGCTATGAAAATGCTGCTTTTCAAGCCACAGGTACAGATGGCTTGCCAAACCAGATATTTCTTTGCGAACTTTGACAGTTTCATGTGCTTGAAAACATCTGCTACCTTTCCCCTTCCTTTTGCCGTATAAAACTCCTGTCCCGGAAGCTGCTTGTAGTCGGCTTTGACGTAGGTTTCGTCGTCCATTACCACGCAGTCAAACTTCGTCAGCATCGTCGTGTAAAGCCTCCGGGATCGTGCTTTGGCCGTCGTATTTTGTTTATCATCGCGATTTGGAGTCACTACCTTCTTGTAAGTCGATAGTCCGGCTCGTTTTTTGGCTCGATGCACGGTTGTAGACGATACACCCAGCTTATTTGCGGCATCTCGGAGAGAGAGGTTAGGGTTTCGCTTGAAACTACCGGCAACTCTCTTTGTCGTCTCAGCGGCTTCCGGTTTTCGATTTCCCCCCGATTCAGACTTCCTGGCTGTCGACAAACGTTCCCAAAACACTTTAATTACATTTGTAACGGTTGATTTGGCAACTTTTAGCGATTTTGCCAACTTTGCGTGCGAGTAGCTCGGATTTTCGCGATGCGCGAGCAAAATTTTGATACGCTGCTCTTCTTGCTTGGACGGCATTTTGACAACTGAAGAGTGAATTCCAAAATCAAAATAGGAGCAACATTCTACACACACACACCTTCAAAATGAGGGGTGTTCAGGTTTTTTAAATGCAAAATTGAAAGAAATACGTCAAGTTGATATTGACCAAATTTTGACCGTATCACCCTTTATTTGCAGCAGACTGCAGAAAAGTTTAGATATTTTCTCTTCTTATTTACAAAAATGGAAGATTTCTCCCAACGCTTCCAAAACTCAACTTATAATATTTCCACATAAGCCTAGAGCTTCGTTTTTAAAACCTAGTAGTAGTCACATAGTCACTATGAACGGAGTTCCAATTTCCTGGTCAGACCAAGTGAAATATCTTGGATTAATACTTGACCAAAAATTAACTTTTAAAGATCACATTGAGGGCAGTTCAAAAAAGTTTTAAAGATCACATTGAGAAGCAGTTCTACCCCAGGATGAGGAAAAAAAAGGCAGCGAAATCATGAAATAGGTGGTGCATCAATTAAAGACAAATTTTATTCTAATAAAACACTTTGAAAATAAATGTGTTGGGCCTTATTACGGGTGTCTCTACACGGTGATAAGCAAGTGATACTCAAAATAAGAGCCGTGATTACCGTACCAATCAAATGGGAATCACTTCACCGTGACGACAAGTAACAAGTTTTCACCGTGAAATGACATCCGTAATAAGCCCCGTTACCAAAATAATTGGCTTCATAGACTTCATGAAAAAATAAATCGAAATTTACCATGAATTCACTTAAACATAACTGTAAAAACTCCTCACCCGTTGTGAAATTATGAACCCACTGGTGATTGCAAACTTTGAGAAGCTTCTTGAGCTAAACCCCCAAACTCGTTTTATGACATTGTACTACGTGTACATAACACAGGATGTCAGCCCTTCACAGCATAATCCTCATCGTGTATGCTTCTCTGACTTCGGCAATTCAGTTAGTTTTGATTTATCTATGACGCGGGAGATTAGTGGGATCCCAGAACATCATCGTTCCATGATTGTTCCGTCAATTTACGCTGCAAAGTTTGGCCAAGTTGATTCCGCAAGATCGTTCTTCACAGATGGATCTCTAATAGAGTCGTCCGCTGGTTTTGGTATTTTTAACGAATTTCATAGCGCCTCTCGAATGCTTCAAGCTCCTTGTTCCGTATATGTTGCTGAACTGGCGGCAATACACTATACGCTAGAAACGATCGCCTCACTTGCACCAGATCACTATTTTATTTTTACGGATAGTCTCAGTTCTGTCGAGGCTATTCGATCCATGAGGCCGGTAAAGCACTCCTCGTATTTTCTCATGAAAATACGAGAGCTTTTAAGTGCTTTATCTTTAAGATCTTTTGTCATCACCTTTGCATGGGTCCCATCTCATTGCTCGATTCCGGGCAATGAGATGGCGGACTCACTTGCTAAGGTGGGCGCTATGGAAGGCGATATTTACGATCGACAAATCGCCTACAACGAATTTTTCTTCATTTATCGTCAACAGTCACTCGTCAGCTGGCAGAATAAGTGGAGTGAAGGGAGTTTGGGACGATGGCTATATTCGATCATCCCTAAGGTGTCGAAGAGTCCTTGGTTCAAGGGGTTGGATGTGGGTCGAGACTTCATTCGTCTGATGTCTCGCCTCATGTCCAATCACTATTCGTTAAACGCTCACTTGTTTCGTGTTGGGCTGGGAGACAGCAATCTCTGTGAATGTGGACAAGGTTACCAAGACGCCGATCACATCCTTTGGTCTTGTGCTGAGCATCGTGGAGTCAGATCTGAGCTGTGCGATTCCCTTCGGGCTCGAGGTAGACAACCTAATGTTCCAGTTCGGGATATTTTGGCTAGACGTGATCTGGAGTTTATGAAACTCATATATGTTTACTTTAAGAATACTAACCTTAGATTGTAAGTTTGATTAACCTTGTGTTTAGTTTGTGTATTGTGCGTGTAGTTTTTTTTTTAATGTTTGTTTTCAAGATGAATAGAAATTAGTTCATTTTTAGGATTAATTAAATATTTGTATCGAAAACCACATTTCAAACCTCCCTCTCCCTTTTCCCATCCAAAAAAAAAATTGTAAATCTCCACTAACCTCGAGACAACCGCGAGTATCCGGTCCAGCTCCTTTAACTTATATATAATATAAGACATCAATAATGTATAACGAAAATGATAATTCGGCTCTGTAAAGTTTATTCGATTGAGCCTGTACAAATAAAGTAATTAATAAAAAAAAAAAAAATAACTGTAAAACCAATGCCAATTTGATTTGATCCGGTAAAACTTACGTGAAAATCACTTGATGTTTATATGCATAATTTGAACGGGATTTCATTCCCAAAACACTTAATATTCACCTGAAAAGTAAGACGGAAAATATCTACGTACCTTTTCAGGTGAATATTACGTCAATTTTATTTGCAGTGTAATAGCATTTTATCAGATTTTCGCACACATATTACGTGTTTGTTTGTTTGTTTACATTTATTTGCTACTTGTTGATCTATCCACACCAATCGACAGAATTGTCTAAAGCTGTTTGAAAACGTTTTTACAGTGGTGCTACATTACCCCGATTATCACTTCCCCGAATGATTATGTTTTCTCTTAATTGATGTTCGTTCTTTTCACATTAATGGTCATGGTATTCGAAGAAGTGACATTCGGGGTAACGGCATTCGTGGGAATGTAGCACAATCGTTTTTACAACGCTCCAAACTTTTCAGGTGAGTGTGACTATTGTCGGCAACCTTTCTCTGCTCCGTAAGTTGCTTCCACTTCAGCAGCATCCAGTGCCTTGACAAAATTGGCATTATCGCTCCAGGTAGACCTCACACTTTCACACTCATCACAACAGCACCGACCTAGGTGCAGGGAACGAACAAAGCTCAATGAAACAACAATAGTTTCTACCGATAATGATAACTATCGATAGCGTGCTGAACGTCGACAGGTACAACTGCTGCTTATGTTGTCACCGTTGCACATCGTCAGGGATTTCGAATACGCTTTAGTCACACCCCACAGCACCGTCCATGTTCAATAATAAATTTTATTGTTTCTCTTCATAATTCTTCCTGCAGAAAAAAATATTTCTGGCATTCATCATTTTAACATCCTAGTAATACAGTTATCAACCAACACTATCGTTTACCACGCTCGGATATTTCCGATCCAGCTGGTGGTAATCAATCTATCCTTCACAGATATTCTGTTTCCGCTAAGTAAATTTTAGTTCGTTCGAAAACGATTCACGTAACCCTCGTCTTGGTGCTGTTTACTATTGTTTTGTGCACGCGGTCTGCATCTGCATAACCTCAATCATAACCTAACGCAACGTAACGTAACGTATGTCCTTTCGCGTTGTAGTTTTTTTTTTTAAATTTTTTCCGTGATGCAACAAGTTTTGCTCTGTTTCTATTTCCGTGTAATTTTTTAGTTTATCATTTTGTTTAGGTTTTTGGGGCGTTCTGTCACTAAGTTTACGTGTGTGTGTGTGTGTGTGCAACTATTGTAAAGTTGGAGGAAATAGGCTAATACAAATAAAACAAACAAACACTACTTGGCCTCTATTTAGTAGCACGACCAACGAATGGTTGGTGTGTGTGTGTGTGTGTGTGTGTCGTGTATTCAATAAAATATTGGCTCCTTGTGAGTGTAAGTGTGTTAGTTAGGGTACAAAGTTGAGTACAAGTAATAGTAGTTTGCGGTTTTTGCGCACTTAGGAAGCTTTGCTCGTGTTTGCTTCTTCAATACAAACAAAGTGGGAGCGTAGGTTGCAACTAGTTAGCCTTCGGCACGGTGTCTTGTCTTATAGGCGCGGTTTGGTTGTTTCGTATAAAAATAAATACTTACTGCTGCGTTACGCTACTTGTTTGTTTTATTACTGTTTCATCTGCTATTTTATAAGGTATCATGTTAAATTTAACTAGTTAAATAATTATCTACAACTGCGCTTTTTCGTAGTTTTTTTTTGTGTTTTTTAGATGTTTTTTCTGCTTTCTTTTAATATTTTAGTATCTCTTCTATGTACATTTAAACCATTTTTTGTTTTGTTTATGTAATTTACACACGTTTTTTTTTCTACCGACGATTAATCGTTTCGGTTTCAAGACACTCTCTTCGCTTGTATACGTTCCGATCCATTTATCAGTGTACCCGAATGGTGGGAGGACAAAATAGTACCACAACTTTTTATAAAGAATTCAAAGAGCACCACTTTTTTAGCATTTGGCGTGGAATGAATCTATTCAACATGGTGAGGATGATGATGAGGCAAATATATTACAAATAACAAAATCAAAGTGGGCATAGAATGCCACTTGACCTTTTCTTGACGAGTTGGAAAACTTGACAATCGGTCAGAAATACTTGGCAATTGAGGCAAACAATCATTTAAAGCTACAGTCTCGGTTTCAAGCAGTCTACTTTTCACAACTGATTCAGACATTTCGATGATGAATTAACGCAATTAGAAATGAATTATAGAAAGCGGTTTCCGTCCAGTGCATAATAAATTGAAAAGGGTGCGGCACCATTTCGACATGCCTCACTTCACCTAGGCACACCCCCCTTAAATCAGTCTGCGTAATTTAGCTTGTGAGCAAAGAATTTGTTGCATTAATTTTTGACGCGTATGCCGGAAATGGGTCCCATATGCCGAAGTAGTACTACACCCTAACTATAACAATTTTGTTGTTGGAAAATAGAGTATCTTAAAGCTATTTTCTCGCGAAAGAAAAGTAAGATAAATAATAATAAGGAACAAGCTTCTCGCGAACGGTAATGATGAAGATATGACTATGCTGGGAGCGAGCTAAATCGGAAACCGGCACACGGAAAAAATTTTGGTTGGAGGAGTAGTTTCTCTTGTAATTGTCACGCTGACCGTTGACACGGGTCTTTCACGGAAAGGCCCGGAACTGGTGACAATTAACATCCACCTTACAGTGTGACATGCTTTTTAACGGATCCATTGAAAAGCGATGCGATCGTGATGGGGTGATTTTTTTCAGAAGGGATGAAATGGGTTTGTTAACAGGTTTGGTTACAGGCAAAAGATTTATTATCTTATGACATGAATATGATGTGGAATTCAAATAAAGTAGTGAAGTACAAAGTGAAAACTTTTTTCAGTGTAACATGATGGATTGCATTTTTAAAAGTCACTTCGGCATTGCTTGTGATGCTTCTGGATAGAGGCTTACGTAGGAAACTAAGAAATACGACCGACTAAAGCTGCTATGAAACGCTATTGCAACTTCTAAAAAACTCAATACATAGTTGTATAAAAGTTACAACAAAACATTTCATTTACATCTAATGCCGAATATAATGGTGGATTCCAGTAATGCTGATACACAGCAAATATCAAGATGTGATCCCAGAATTTTCAAGTTGACTGGCTTGAAACTGGTCGATACGAATCATATTTTTGCTGGTATTATCAACAAGTAGCTGTTATCATAGATGTGAAATTGTTAACAATGGTTTGTTTTTGAACAGTAATAAGCAATAAGTAAGTTCCTCCTTTAGGTTCGCGTAGGGTTCCAAGTTTTAATGAGCTCTTCTCATCGATTTTCCCTTTGTATCTTACACTTAAGTAAGACTATTTTTCGATTTTTTTACAGTAATACAGTACTGTAAAAACCTGTAGAAGATTTTAAAGATTGTGCTTCGACAATACCTTTAACCTATGATCGTCAAAGGGTTAATAAAGTCCTGGGCGTCCATTTTTTTGCTTGAGAGTTTCAGAGCATCGTTACCCTAGTTTGATAAAGAAGGTTCTTCTCTAGCGTCCAAAACGCTAAACACAACAGGGAATGTGGTTGCAGTTGAGTTATTAACGAATGAGAAAAGTTGACGAAGAGAATCAATCAGTGCAAATAGAACTTTCTGAAATGTTCATCTAGATTTATCGATTCTCTTCAATTAATAACTCAGGTACAAATACGTTTCCTGCCGTACTTGTCATATCAGATGCTGTATAATAGCTTCTCTGTGTGTCGAAATTAGCCGGAAATTTGTAAACACGGCCGTAGTGATTCAAAGAGAAAATCGATCAATGTTACATTGGACTTCTGCCATTGTTTGGGTTGATTTCCAATCCGGCGAGGGAACCAGCCAGGTGATTGATAGCAGCATGTTATTCCATTAAGTTGTGATCGCAAGTCGGCTTCATGAACCTGGTGGAAGACGGACTTGATTTGCAATCGTAACCTGAACGGCCATAGGAAGGAAGGCATTCACCATCAACTTCGACCAGAAGGAGAAATCGACAGTGAGCATGTATTATGGTGTACCTGCGATGATCGATTCTCTTCGTCGATTTTCTCTTTTGTTATTAACTCGCTTGGATTAACTTTTCTCTGTGCGTTTGTTATTGCTTCCCTTAGCTGTAGCAATTTAAAGCGAAAACCGATGAAGAGAATCGACCATCGCAGTTAGGCCCTTATGCATACTCACTGTCGAAATAACGGGGGAAGTCGAAACGAAAGTGTCCTGATCTATGCAAGGAGTTCAAAGCAAAGGAAGTTTAGCATAATGCCCATTTGACACAAATACATAAATGGCGGGTGATGGGTCACAAGGCCGAAAGTTTGAAAGTGATTCACCTTTAATCTGGTTTATGAAAAGAATGAGCAGCTACATCATAGACCATAGACCATTGGATGCATAGATCAAACATTATTGATACAATATGCCTCGAAATAAATGCTCATGTTTCAATGAAGGAAAAATCTGCTATGAAAAACCTTGTACTTGAAATGTTTTCATATGAAAATTTAGATTCTCGAGAGAACTGCTTATGTTTCAAAGAAGGAGAAATATGCTATGAAAAATCATAGAACAACAATTCCTCAGCTGTTCCTACTGGCGAGATCTCATATTTTTCCAATCCTCAAGCCCCTTAAAACAATTCTTAACCCTTACAGTACTGGCAATAATAAAGTAATCACCGTATTTTTTGCCTCTCCGAGTATGTGTATCAAAATTGCTGGAATTTTGTCTGCTGGTGGATCAAATATAGGTACCATAGGTACCATTTTGAGCTTGAACGATTGAGTTTGTAAGAAGTTTGAGTACTATTAAAACGATTCTTATTTGTCCTATGACCCATTCGGCCTAATGACTTTCGGCCTAGTGGCCCTACACCAAATGCCGTTTTGCATTATAATATTTTGTGTCATCCCTTCTCTTGCTGTCAAGTAAGAATAGGGATGGCAAGAGCACTTCTGACACAATAGAAACCATGTACATAACCTTAACTATTGTTCTGGATTAACAGCTCTATTTAATACGATTTCCCCTATTCTGCGAGTCGAGTGACTCTGTGTCACTAATGTGGTGGCAAATGTTACGTCGTGTAACGTGAATATCCACTTTTGATTAGCAACTTTTGTCACACCACTAGAGAGTCACTGGCCACGCAGAATAGACGGAACTGTGACACCTGTGAAGAAGTGACTTTTAAAATATCCATATTGAGGAAAAGGATTTTGGACAACAAGGTTTTGCTTTTTTTTTTACTTTTCCGTGTTGTTTATAGGTACCTAAATTTAGGGATCTGATTATTGTTAATGAATGAAATTTGGAAATTATGAAAAGACTATTGTTCGGTTGCTACTTTTAAGATGATTTTTCTTATCGAAAGATGATCGTTTACCAACATAATTGCAGGGAAAATATCGAATGACTCATGCATAAAATGTAACCCACAAATCGCTCAATCTCGGAAATGCATTGTTTGGTAGTGAGACGCGGTGGCAAGAAATTTTCGTTGTAAAAAAAAAGATAATCGGCAGCTAAGCGGAAATGCAACTAAAATGATTAATTGAAGTAGCCAGAGAGAGAGAGAGTCACCGCAAAAATTTCAGTAGGGGAGAATAAACCTACCCTTATCTAAGAAAAGAAAAAAGAAATGACCGTGTGCCACTGGAATGTGTACGTGTGTTTGTGTCTGTATTTGTCTGTGCGCACCACTTATGTGTATTTTGCTAGAATAAAAAAACGAATAATTCCCTCGACTAAATTCTAAATTTGTTCCTACGACTTATGTAAAAAAAATTGTAATGCTACTTCCTTTCTACTATTTCGTTAGTCGATGATACTGATTTTGGTTGATTCGGCAGTCCGGGAGCATCAAGAAGACATACCATCCGGAGAATGAGCGATTTGAGTTGGTTACAACCTAACCTCACTTTTGATATCCAAACAAACTCCGAAGGAAAAAGTGAGGTTAGAAAAATTGACAACTTTCATATGGTTTGAAAAAAAAAAGTTTTGAAGAAATTAATCGTTCATTTACTACCTCGTAAATGTGTCATTATTACAGAAAGTTGTGCGTGCGGAAAAAAATAATAATGGATGGACAGATCGAATGACATTTTTTTTTCTAGCGCCGTAAAAATGAGAATAATTTTTAAAACACGCTTTCCACCACAAAAACCATAAACTTCGATGCTCTCTTACAGGAGTCCTCCCTTGCGTCCAAACAGTAGCGAACTGATCGTACCGTACACACTCTGTCCTAGCGAGCGGCTCGGCTCCGGAACCGGTGCCGGAGCGGCCGTCTCGTTCTTGTTGCTATTGCTCTTAGACTTATTGCTACCACTACCACCTACCGTACCGAGATCGGGCCGCATGCCGGCGGGCCTACCGGATCCATGCACCGTACCCAGGTCGGGCCGCTGCGACCCGTTAGTGCCGTTGAGCAGATTCCGTCGGCTCTTTTGTCGTTGCATCTGCTTTAGACGGGCGGCCGTTGCCGCGGAAGGCGTAGCTTCCGACTTGTCGGCCACCTTCCGAGCGGAGGCAGCTGGTTTCGCTCCGCTCACCGAAGAATTCCCACTGTCGCTATCGGCGTATGCTCCGGAAGCTACCGAAGACGACGATCCGGAAGCGTCACTCGATCCGGAAGATATATTCTTTAGGCTATCGTGCGACAATCCCTTGCTGAGAACTGCCTTGATAGTTTCCTTGTCGATCAACAGTCCATCCTGGTGTTTTTGGTGCTTCATGCGTCCATCCTGCAGGTGCTTCAGGCTGGTCAGCTGTGCCATCGGGCTCGACGTGCGACCCCGACCCGTCGACGTGTACAGTGCCGAGGAACTGTGCAATGCCAGTGGGCTGATTCCATGGCCGGTGTGGTGCATAAAGTTGTCCACTCCCATGCTCTCGACCTTCTCCATGATCTTGATCGAGCGGAGGGCCTTCTTCTCCAAGCGCGACAGGGCAAGCATGTTGCGGGCCGTCAAGCGAGACGGCCGTTCCTTTTCGCTCGAGGAAGACGCGACGGCAAACTTCTTACGCAGGATATCGGCACCGGAGGAAAGCAGCCCGGATAGTAGCGGGGGTTCTGGGGACACTGAGCGAGCTGGGGAGCCCTCTGTTGAAGGAAAAGATCATTTAGTATCATTTGAGTTGCTGCTGGACTTGATAGGGACTTGCTCAGATACTCAGAATAGCAGTGGCGTCGCGTAACCTCACTTTTTACCTGTGCACCAACTTTCAAAAACAGATTTAATGCCATTTTTATACTCGAATCGGTTGAAAAATACACTTAATCTTCTAGTTAACTCGATATCTATCCATTGCAAGCAATATTTTGACATTTTTTTTTATGTTTTGAGAGTTGGTGCACAGGTAGATTGAGGTTAAGGCGACGCCACTGCAGAATAGCAAAGTTGTTATTGTGATATGCGAACATTTATACCCAACAGGGATGGCATGCTCTTTAGGAACATTTTCATTACTTAAAAAAAGGAATGCTTACGTTGAATTCAATTGAATTTTCAGTTAACCCATCTTAAAATAGATATTTTAGTGTTAATCTCTCTATTAAAATTCAAAATTTCCGCGCCGCAAAACCACACTTTGTGTTTTTACTGAAGGTACACTTGAGAGCACTCTCGAAAACCAAGCGGTGGAAACTAAAGATTTTAAATTGGCTCACTACTTGACTAGCCTATTGGTCCCAAGTACATCTATAAGCGTACCCCATTCTTGTCGAAATCCTAGTACTACACTATATTTGTTTTGATTCTCTATGAAAGTGGATTTTCCTATGTTTCGAGGGGTGTATCGATTAGCTTAGGACCGAAGATAGTACCAGATCTGAGCCAAAAAGTTGAGCACGTTTCTTGGGGACCTTCTGGTCTAAGAGTTATCTCTATGATTGAACTATCTATTTTACAATGGGTTGACTGAAAATTCAACTGGATTTTACGTTAGCAATCTACAAAAAAAAAAAAAAAAACATTAATGAAAAAGCCGCAAAAGAGCGATCCATCATTGCCGATAAACAAATCATATATAATGCTCAAACATGTGTAAATCAAAATTTACATTATGAACAAAGGATATTTATCATATCTGTATACTACAACAGTACAAATGAAACCGTATAAAATCGTAAAGCATGTCAAACCAAAATTATTGTAACAGATTAAATCGCGTATGGTGCCAAATAAGTTCGTTTTATTTCCTCCTACCCTAAATTCCCCCCCAAACTTACCGGGACTGTTGCACGGCGTAACCGTGGGCGAGAAGTTGGGACCGGCCGGGGTGTTCAGGGCGCTGGGCGTCACTGCCTTGATTCCGCGCTCGTTCAGCATCGAAGCCAGTCCCAGATTGACGGAGAACGTCGAACAGGAGTTCCTCCGCGACAGGCCGGATCGTGGGGTGGATGGGGCCGATGGTTGTCGCGATGGACACTCGGATGCCATCTGCGAGGACATTTGCGATGGTGGAAGGCTAAACGTGACCGCCGTGGTACCGTCATCCGGATGCAGTACGGTACTGTTGGTGTAGGTGTAGGTGCAACCGAACGTTTGGAAGCGCTTGCCCGGATGCTCTTCGGCGTCTTCCTCTACATCCGATAGGGAGTAGGTCTGTAGGCCAAGATCTTCCAGTCCGCGTCCACCGCGGATCGTCACGCCGGGACGTTCCTCCAGCAATCCACTGAGCGTGGGAGTTGCCAGGCGAGACCAGTGGTGCAAAGTTTGGGATCCCTCGATCGGTTTGACGATCTGCAGCTTCTCCGGAAGGCGCCACTGGTTAGAAGACATACCGGACAGACCGGACGATCCGGTAGACATGATGCTGTCCGGCGTACGACATCCCAGTGGTATTCCACTCGGCTGGTCGTCGTAGCTATAGGTTCCTGCCGGTGCATGCTGCAGCATTGCTCTGCGGGCCAGCACTTCGGCTGGCGTCAGTCGTTTCAGAGCTGCCTCGAGGTCTTTGGCACCAGGAGCGCCGGGAATGCCGGCTTGTGCTGGTCCTGGGTAACCATCCTCCGATTCGGAAACTAGACTTTCACGCGAAAACGAGCGACCACCCAGGGAACTTTCGTACATTGTGCTGTAGATAGAGGAACCACTCTTGTACGAGTGCGTAGTGGTAGTTCCGGAACCGGGGAATACATACGGAGCCATCCGCGGCTGCGATGACGAACTCATCGTCATCGATCCCAGCTGGGAGAACCCATCGCCGAAACCGGTCGTATTGGCCCGCGTGGCGGAACGTACCGTCTCGAAGACCTTTTTGTACGACGGTAGATGGGACGGTCCTCCCCGTTCCGAAGCAATACCGGAATCCAAACTGTTCTCCGAGTACAGCGATGTTTCCATCAACTCCGACTGGAGTGAATCCTGCGCCGGAACGCTCAATCCTGGTATCAGTGAACTCCTCGCCATCGGCTGGGAACGTTTTCTTTGGCGTCGCAACTGCTCCTGCGTGTCGTGCAGCAGATTTAGGACCTCCTGATACCGTGCCTTGAACTCCGCCAGCTCACCGGCCAGCAGGTTCTGATTCTCTTTGGTAATACTGAGCAGCGAGGACGCTTCCTCGTTCTCCGTGGTAAGCTGATGCAGCCGAATTTCGGCCTCCGACAGCCGACCAGTGAGGCTGATGATTTGCTCATGCTGGAGCCGGTTCTCTTCCTTCAGTCTTTCAAGCTCGAAATCTTAAGAAAAAGAAACACACACCCCAATTATAAACATGCCCTATAAATTCTCAAAATTCAAGATACTCACTCAGTCCATCAAACTCGTTGTTGGTCGTGCTCAGCTGATGCGCAATGTCGGCCATCAGTTTGCGCTCCTGCTCCTCGCATTCATCGGTTTCCAGCACTAGCTGGGCGGCTTCGCAGCGCAGTGACTTGTTTTCATCCTCGAGCGATTTGACCTTTCGCTGCAGTAGGTCCAGGTTCACCGATTTGGACGTCGTAGGTGTAACTGTAAGGAAACGTAATTTCACCATTATCGCAAAACGTAATAATTTTCCACCGTTGCTAACTCGGTGGAGAATGGTTCGGTACTGGCTATACACGTACAGAATCGTATGGTCAGCATTGCTAACATCTCCGAAGACGATGAGAAGAAAGACAACACTGATAAAGCTGCTAATCAGTAAACACCGCGCAATGGAAGGCACGATTTTCAAGACGTTTCACTTCGTTATCAGTTCAAACGTCTCTCGTGTATTTTGAGAGTGAGATCAGGTCTCGGCTACCAACTAACATTGGGACTGTCCCACAAAAGATTCGGTACGGAACTAGATAAAAGCCGCGTGAACACGTGTCAAGACTCGAATTACATTTGCTTTCGGCTGGCTGGTTGGTTGGTTGGATCGGTGGGTTCCGAAGGCGCAAAATCTTATTGATCGTTGTTGTTTGTGCCGTGCGGTGGAATGTTTGGCAGGGACACGGAATGGCATTGAAAATGAAAATGAGACGTAAAATGAACACAGGCCTTCGTAGTACGACGACGGATCGATTATTATGATTTGATTGTGATGATGTGGGTCGTGATATGTTTATGTGAATTATAAGAGGTTATACTGGGGAACAAAGAAAGAGAGTTTTAAGCAACTTGACAGCGCTTCACGTTGTTTTGTGGAATAGAAAACTCCAAATATTGTTAATTTAAAATCTTATAATGCAACAAAAAATAGAAGAAGATTATGTCAGACCCCAATTTTAAATCTAAGCCTTGGAAAAGAGTTTCAAATACGAAAACCTGTTTCGTTCAAAAAATTACTTGCGAATCTATATTTTCGACATTATTAAGACATTCTTGGAAATTTTAGAATTACTTAATTTAAAAAAAAAAATATTTGGCGTCCTAAAATAAGGCATTTAATGATATTTGTGGAAGTTCAGGCATCCTGTACCTAACGGTCCTCCTCCTTCCTGGACAATTTATAGATTGCACTAGTCATACATTTACATACTGTTCTACGAAGTTTTACCGTTAACGAAACTTTCCATTAAATTTGTGAAATTTAATCTCGATTGAAAATTTGATGACAAACAATATTTAATGGTTTTGAGATTGCTTTCTTATTTTATCTCATATGATTGCAGATTTTTCATTCCTATTTTACTTATGATAGTTTGAAATTAATCAGTATTCGACCAAACGGCATTCGGCCGAATGACCCGGATCCGAAGGACATATCGAGAATCGACCTGCATCAGCTGCCAATGGAGACGGAACTTTCTTGGTGTCCGGAATAAACACAGCGTCGAATTCGCATCCCAGATCGTATAGAAATGTACAGATAGGATTGTTAATTTCTACAGATGCACATAAGAAAGAAATATCTCGCATTATGTTTAAGTGTAATCGCATATAATGCGAATTTGTGATGAATCATTTTTGTGTCGTACTGTATCACAAACTTTATCGGATTAGATCGTTAGGTTTGTCGAACCTAAATTTGTTATTACAGATGATATCGAATATAATATGTGGAATCAAGTAATTTATGAAGAACTTACAATTTGCACATGTTTGGCCTCCACTTTTACATGTAGAAGCCATTTTGTGCATTATATACGATTTTTTTTGTTTGTAAATATGTTTGTATATCACAGAAACAACTTCGATATACGTACATACTGGTTGGTAACTCAGTCGGTAAAGGCTGGAGGCAGCTAGGTTCAACTCCCGGTCAGTTTAGGAATTTTTCGGGTCGAACAATTTCTCGACTTCCCCGAGCAAAAGAGTATAAGTGTCATGTAATAAACAAAATTGAGGGCCAGCGTAAAGTCCCAGTAGGGTAGGGTTACCATATCAAAAACTTGAACAGGAGGACATTTCATTAAATTTGAGGTTTGGAGACTAAGGAGGATAATGATTCCTTTTCTTAACATTAAATGAGGACAATGACCCAGACAACCAGAATGCACGTATATTCAAATTTGTTTTCGTGATATACAAACATATATACAAACAAACAAGTCGTTTAGAATGCAAAGAAATGGCTTATACGTACAAAAGTGGAGGCCATATACGTGCATATTTTCGTTTAATTTTAAACGAGTTGATTTAACATCATATGCAATTTGATCTGTAATAACAAATCCATTTTGAAAAGTCTTACGATGTAATCCGATTAAATTTGTGATACAGTACGACGGAAAAATGAGTCATCGCATTAAACATAATGCGAGGTATGCCATTCTAATATGCGATTTTGACTTAAACTGTAGCAATTTACAATACTGTCTGTACATTGTTTTACGACTTCTGGTTGTCTGGGGAGTTTTTATCAAACGTATCAAAATTCATGAATTGGAAAGGTTCAATTGAGATTGTTCATAATTTTTAGTCGTTACCAATTCAATTCATCTTCTCGTTATACTTCTGAAAAATGCATCAAACTCGCCTTCATAATTCATTTTTGATACTAGGAAATTATCTAGTCTAGTTGATTTGCATGAAAACTACAGCTTTACAGCATTAAAACACTCCTAACTTTTATCGTGTACAAAAATCAGGATACATTCAGGCGTAACATTTGATAACGGCACAAAAGCTTTTGTAAACAAAAGTTGTAAGGCCCGTTACACGTGAACCGAAGAACGCCCACGTAAACCAACAACATCATCGGCTGGAGGAAATTTTCCCCTTTTCGATAATTGTATTGGTTTGCGTGGGCGTACTTCGATTCGCGTGTAAAGGGCCGTTATCAAATTATACACCTGACGACCTGACATGTCATCGCTTATTGATACCATCATGGAACATCTAAGCAACCTGTTAATTTTACAATTGATTCAGCATAGGACTCTAAGGCCGCTGCCATAGTGGGAGCAAAGAGGCGCGCTTAGCGTTCTATACAAAAGAATTCCTAATATTGATATTATTCCTTACATTAGATTTCACGCTTCGCGTGCCTCTTCAGTCTCAATATGGCAGCGGCCTTAACAAAATACCTAAAATCCCATAGAACCAGAACGTCAAAATCGAACATATGTTAGATTCAATCTGTTCAAATAAACCTGCTATTGTACCAGACTTATTTCTGGCACACCAGGAATCAATTTTGACAAACACCTTCTCGAAAATCACACGATATTCGAACATTATAATTTATTTTCGAAATGTCAAATTTTAGTAAAATAAATTATAATGTTCGAAAATCCCTCTGTTGTTGCTTGATTTTCCAGAAATTGTTTGTCAAGATTGATACCTGGTTTGTCTGAAATAATTCTGCTAGAATAGCAGGTTCATTTGAAAATTTTCCATCCTGTCAAATATAAGTTAAAATTCACCAAATGAACCGCAGTCCTAATGTAGGGGGGTTGACAGCTGTAGTATACTCCTAGTTCCAACATCAAATGCCATTTGCTAGACAAGATGTGGTTGCGACATAATTAAATAAATAAGCTCTGCAAATAGCGCTTTTTGAAACAACTTTATGAATATGTTACTGGACAAACATGCAAGGTTTAAAAAAGAGGACATTTCGGGCAAAAGGAGGATGTAGAAAAATTATAGAAAAAGGATGACATGTCCTCCTTTTGGATACCATATGGTAACCCTACAGTAGGGACGTAATAAAATAAAAAAAAAAGAATGCATTCTTGTGGTCTTATAATCGGTGAGATCCACCTACGCATTACGCGGATTCAGCGGCGAGAGGAGAGACTTGGGCGGTAATTCGGCACACGCCAAATAAAAGATTCAGCTGTACTCTAAAAAATCTGCACGTCTAATTTACGTGGAATATCACGTACCTAACTGATCTGTAATCTAGAAAATCTCATTTGTTACGTGGTGTTAGTAGCTTTAAACTGCATTTTACGTCATGTTCAAATTTAGTGTTTTTTGATTTTCTGAGCCATAAAAAGGCATAATGTTGACTGCTTCTAATTTCATTATTCTAATTCTAATTCGCGTAAAAATTACTTAAGAAGCATTTTAAACAAAAAGAAGTATCACGTAAAGGTTACCGATTTTCCAGTAGTTTTCACTCCAATTTAACGTAAGTAGTGCGTGGAAATCAGGTCTCATTCACTTGACTAATCGCAAAGATAATCGAAGCTGAATTTTGCTCTGCTACGTGCAATTCCGGTAAAAGTTACGCGAAATATAAGGTGCATGAGAACCCCCCTAGGTTTTCACGTAAATCGAACGTGAAAATGTTTCAGGGTGTATGAAACGGTTATTTGTTTAAGAACTTGAGACCAGAGCAGCGGATGTTCCAGAAGCTTGCAGTGTAGAAGAACAATGGACGGTCATCAAGAGTGCCTTTATTGAGACGATTCAGAATAACTTGGATGAGCTGCGAACTTTGATAAAATAGGTCATCATGGATGAAACCTGCCGACAGATTAAAGAGCGTAGAGAAGCAAATGCCGCGATAGAACGAACGAGAACCAGAAAAGCGAAAAACCAAAATCTGCCCAGTTAGAAGGTTTGCTGACTTTCAAGCCCAAAGCAAACCTTTACAGAGCCGAGGATTCTTGTTCCCTATACAAAACATTGTAAAGCTATAATCAAAAAATACAACACAATACAGTAGCGTCGCGTAACCTCACTTTTTACCTGTGCACCAACTTTCAAAACTAGATTTATTGCCATATTCAAACTCGAATCGATTGAAAAATACTCTTAATCTTCTAGTTTACTCGAAATCTATCTATTGAAAGCAATATTTTGATAATTGTGTATGTTTTGAGAGTTGGTGCACAGGTAGATTGAGGTTAAGGCGACGCCACTGACATAATAAACACATTATCTTCCGCTATCCAAAAACGGGAGCCGCTTCTAGCGGTTTCATTGTATGACAGTATCGCCAACGAGGGGCAGAGCGCATCCATTGCAGCAATGGACGCAACACGTGGTCTTCACTCATACACTCATCACGAAACGGTTGCTTTCCAAAGTCGACGACGCATCGACTGAACGAACTGTTGATGAAGAACAATGAGGAGTATCACACA